ATGTCTTCTAATCGACGTTATCTTAGATTTACTGAAACGCATTATCTAGCAGGGCTGGTGTTGAGAAATGTGTACCAATGTAAACTTGATCTGGTAGCTCTCCCCAGCTCCTCAGATGTAAAGAAAAATCCTTTCTCTCTTTCTGAGCCAGTAATAAAAAAATGAGTTTCGCTACACACCTATCCTGAGTTCCTAAAACGTCAACAAAATTACATCAGAGTGCAGCCTTACAAGTACCAGTAAGTCAGAACCACAGAAGAGAGAGCCGAGGTGCCCTTGGTCCTGGCTTTTGTGACTTTCCACCCCTCACCCACAGGACCCACACACTCTGGACTCCACGGCTTCATTCATGCTCTGTCTGCCTGGGGCCTCCTTCCACCTGTTCTTGGTTAGGCTGGCACTTCTTCAGGACGGACTTGGATGGCAGCCCCACCTCCATTCTACCACCTAAGGGGGTCAGGGGCCTTTATGTGTTCCTGTCATGGTCCTTATCTAAGATCCTTTTGCTTGCCTGCTTCTCTGTGTTCCCCATCGGAAGGAAGGGTATCAAGCCCATTTTTTTGTGTCCAGGTCTAGCACAGCATCTGAGAATCAGGGAGTGAGGTCTCCATGGCTGTCACACGTGAGGCCCACTCCTCCTGTCCATGTACTCCAAGCCCTGGAGTTGTGACGTTCAGCCCAGGGTACCAGTGTGGCAAAGGGTGCTTCTAACTGGTTCTACTATCGGGAGACTGGACCTCCTCAGCGCGCCAAAGCTGAAGTCGGTAATTATAGCTTGGGACTTGACCCTTCTTCCCGCGCCTCAGCAGAAGCAGAGCGGGGGTAGGAGGACGCAGCAGGAGCTCAAGGGGAACATGGGGTAAGAGCCCCCGGGCTGCCTATGCAAGGGAGAAGACAGTTCAAGACTCTGCTTTGGTCTCAGTGGCTGTTTGGCTTAGTTCCCGGAATCGATGTTGCAAGAACCTCTGGGATTCTTCTTGGTGAATGGGTTGGTTATTAGGAGAAAACGAATTAGCAAGAGTAATATAAAAACCATAGGATTACAGGGCTTCCCTGGTGGCGCAGTGGTTGAGAGTCCGCCTGCCGATGCAGGGGACACGGGTTCGTGCCCCGGTCCGGGAGGATCCCACATGCCGCGGAGCAGCTGGGCCCGTTGAGTCATGGCCGCTGAGCCTGCGCTCCGCAACGGGAGAGGCCACAACAGTGAGAGGCCCGCGTACCGCAAAAAAACAAACAAACAAAAAAAACCCATAGGATTACAAAATGTGAAGTGTCAGCAGTTCCGAATTAGAATAAGTCCGTCTCGTGAACACCAACATGAGTGGAGTTGTCTCCGCTAATCCCACCGCCAACAGGAAGGCAGACGTCTGGGCCTGGGGCAGCGCTCCCTGAGGCTGGATTCTGGTGAGTTCCAGGAAACAAACACTATGTTCTAGGCCGGACCGTGCTCTGCAAGCCCAGGTAGGCCCAGAGTCTCCCTCTCGCACGGTGTCACCCCACAGCCTGGCCAGTGTTCTATCCTTTGATACAGGTGAGCCCTTGGGACAGACCGTCTTCAAAAAAATCCAGACCACACAGCAGCCCCCTATGTGTCTTGTGGCCCAGTCCCCACAGAGTTAAGAGCTGTGATGTCCTCGCAGGACTGGTGGTAGGAAAGGGCTGTAAGTACCATCCAATAGCCCTCTCCTGCAAAGGGGTCTCTACGGATCAGGTTCTGGGGGTCTCCCACATAAACCTGGAGTTCAGGACGCTGGTTCCCAACCTTGGCTGTATATTGGTATCATCTAAGGAGCACTGAAAAAGGACAGGTGCCACGCCTCTGTCCAGTACTGTCCTTGTGGTGTGGGACCCGATGGGCTCTAACGTGCAGCCGGCGTGGAGAATCGCTGCTCTGAGAGCATAAACGGGAGTCTGGACCCTCCTGGCTATCATGAGGAGAGCACAGGGGCTCATGTGTGAGAATAAACAGCTGGACATCCCTGTCTCCTCAAGGCTCTGGTCTGGAGCCCCCAGCAGGGGAGTAGGCAGCCTCTTCATGTGAGTCCCTTGCTCCTAGATGTGGCTTCTCCACACCCAGGAAGTCCCCCCAGGGCCAGTCCTGAGTGGCCTGTGTCCAACCACAGACACACAGCCCATTCCTCCATCCTGCACGGTTCTGAACATTCACCCCCACCAAGTGGTGCAGTGGAACCTCAGATGTGGAACGAGCACATGCTTTGGAACAAGAAAGCTGCTACCCTTGGCTAGTTCTGTCACCCCAGGCGAGTCTCGGAGCCTCCATCTTCTGATCTGCCAAACCTGGACAATATTGCCTCCTTTACAGGATTAATGGGAGAAGCAAAAAGTGCAGAAAAACACTGTTAGCGTTTTGTTAAACAGAAATAAATATCCTACTAAAATTTTTCTATTGGTGATTTAAAACAATGTAACAGTTCATACTAATGCATTAAAATGCACTTTTAAGTTATTTAAATCATGCAAACACATTCACGTGACCCCCTTCCCCCATTCCGCACCACCCCCCTTCAAGGAACCAGGTGAAACCCTTTTTGCAACAAGGCATAGTATAAAACAAAGATAATAAACAAAAGGCCAATGAAAGATCTAGATCAGTTTGGAATTCCTGGGAGACTCTTCAGGCCTAAGGAAGAGTGGCAAAACTTGAACCCCAAGCACAACAGCCCCTGCTCAGCTGGACAGCACCGCCTGCTGCTGCTCCGATAGAAGTCCATGCCATTGTCACGTGCATGGAAAACCAGCCTCTTCTCCTTTCCTCTGGTGGTGTTCCAGTGAGTTCTCACGGACCCTCAATGGCTGGTTCATCTCCCTAAGAGGAGGCAGATAGCAGGGACTCTATCCTTTTTTTAAAAAAACATTCATTAGCTGCTCACTGCATCAGGCATTTTACAGTGTGGTTTTCACAACAATCATCATGTCCCCATTTTATAGATGAGAGAAGCTGCGGCTCAGGAAGGTCAAGCCACTTGCTGAAATTGCAAAGCCAGGAAGCTGTATTTCAGATACCACATCCCATGTTCCTCACCACTTTGGAGCACATCCACAAAATTTTATCAAATTATCAAACTTTATGGAAACTTTAAAAAGAAAAAATGACTACCAGCTTAAAAGGGTCCTTCAGGGGCTTCCCTGGCAGCGCAGTGGTTAAGAATCTGCAGGGGACACCGGTTCGTGCCCTGGTCCAGGAAAATCCCACATGCCACAGAGCAACTCAACCCTTGTGCCACAACTACTGAGCCTGCGCTCCAGAGCCCGTGCTCTGCAACAAGAGAAGCCACCGCAATGAGAAGCCCACGCATCGCAATGAAGAGTAGCCCCTGCTCTCTGCAACTAGAGAAAAGCCCGCGCGCAGCAGCGAAGACCCAATGCAGCCAAAAATAAATAAATAAAATAAATAATTTGTTTAAAAAAGGGTCCTTCAGTTAAAGTTGAGAGTTCTTACATTCGGATAGTATTGTGATTGGAGAACATCTTATTCCTGCTTTGTCCCCTTATCCAATATGCAGAACAGCTGGAGGCCACAGTTTAAATTTTAGAAATAAAATATTCCTAGTAGAGCGGACATGAAAGACGCTGTCCCTTTTTGGAGAAACGAGCTCCAAATGGTCAGAGGAATCTTGACCGTGGAAAATGTACTGCACTGAAGCCAAGAGTCCCTCTTGGACCTTCCCCAGTGTGATCTGAGGCGGCTCACTGTCTGCCTTTGCCTCCATTTCCCTTCCACAGAGATGACAGCAGTATGTAAGCAGCATTAGGGTGGATGATTAAGTCAAAATGGCCAAACGTTGGCAATTTCACATGATTCAACCTAACAGAACTAATAACAGCTCTATGAGTGGTATTATGAACAAAAGCCATTATACAGATTATGGAACTGAGGCTCAATTGCACAAAGATTTTTACACCTGAGCCTGAATCCAGAGTCCACGTTTTTTCCATTACTATGTGTGAGTTCTGAACTAGGATATCCAGTGTTGCTATTTTTCCCTCTGACAATAATTACTGGATACAAACTACAGTGGCGATGCTTTGGTTTGAGTACAGCAGGCTCTGTAACATCTCCAGGAATTAAGCGACCATCAGCCCTTTCTCCCTTAAAATTTTCCTTCCTCAAGGGCCAGACACTAGGGTATGGTCAGATATGAAACCCTACCCTCTGCATAACCCATCCTTGAAGAACTGGCTGATTTTTAAAGTACAGTGAGTTTACAATATTATATTCGTTTATAATATTATGTTAGGTGTACGATACAGTAATTCTATATTTTTATAGATTATACTTCACTTACTATAAAATTAAAAATTTTTCTATATTCCCTGCGTTGCACAGTATTTTCTTGTAGCCTCTTTCTGTTTACATTGCAGGCTGTGTTCCTTAATCCCCTACCCCTATCTTGCCCCTCCCAAGAACTAGGTAAAGTTTTAACCGAAACATATTTCCTCTCTATTTGTGGATAAAGTCAGGGTGTTTCTTTCTTTTCTTTTCTTCTGTTTTTTAAAGGATATTATTTGGAGACAGAACTCAGCAGCCTAATTTCTAGGACGTGGTGAAACGCTCCGCTCCCCCGACAGTCGGGGCGGTGGGCGCCCCCTTCCTCCGGCCCGCCCCACGCCAAGACACTGTTCGCCCGGCCGCTGCGAGCTCTCGGACCGCGAAACCTCGCGCTCCGCAACATCCAGTTTCCAGATCTGAAACACGACGCAAACCACGACTGGGGCAGGACGGAGGGGGTGCAAGACGTGTCCAGGGCTGCGGGGGGAGGCTCAGAGTCCAGCTCCCGCCACCTCCCGGCCCCACACGGCCCGCCTCGCAAGCCCGGAGCCTGGGCCCCCGCCGCCGCCCACAGCAGGTCGGCGCGGACTGCATGCGGCCCCGCCCGGCCGAGACGCTCGCACCCCCGCACCGGCTCGCGTGTGGTCTCGCCCGTGCGTCCGCCTCCCGCGCCTGACCTTTACCCCGACGCCGCCCCGCCCCGCCCCGCCCTCCGCTCGGCCCAAGATGGCGGCGCCCGTTTGCGGTCTGAGGCTCCGGCCGCTGGTGAGTGGGCGGCACGGGCGGGGCCGGCGGTTGGAGTGGGGGCGCGGGGAGCCCTAGTTTTAGTCTCATGCCCCACTCTCCCTACAGGTGCTGTCCTGGAACTGGGAGCTGCCATGCGTCTGGCGCGCCCTGCACACCTCCGCGGCCTGCGCCAAGGTAAGTGCGGCGTGGAGGCCTGGGGTCTGGGCGCCCGCGACCTCGGAGGGTGGGATCTGTGGGCGAGGGTGTAATCCAGGGAGCGCCCTGGGTCGGTGGTCGCGGCGAGTCACGGGCCCTCTTTCTTTCCAGAACCGGGCGGCCCGAGTCCGAGTGGGCAAGGGGGACAAACCAGTGACCTACGAGGAGGCTCACGCGCCGCACCACATCGCCCATCGTAAGGGCTGGCTGTCGCTGCACACAGGTGAGGGGACGATGCCTGTCGCGGTGGCGGGAGGGGACGAGGACGAGGACGTGCTGTGGGCCCGACCCCTGGCCCCAGGGAAGGCGTTCTTAGTTGTGCCTGTCTGTCACATAAACACGACGTGAACATGTGTCAGAGATTTTGTTTAACTCGGTACTCAACGCGAAGTTCAGAAATCAGTCAGACGCTTTCAAAAGAGGAGTAAAATAGACATATGTGGTCAGGATCGTTGAAATGTATTTGAAAGGGATGCAAAACGCTTTTTCCATGCGGGTCAAGGGTTCGGTTGAACTTCCACAGAAATTGTTTGCATGCCTAAAGACAGTTGTTTTGCGTCGCTGCCCGTTATGTGTAATTTACGGATATAAAAAAGCCCAGAGGCAGTGAAAAGAGTGAAACCCCTTGGAATTCGATGACCCGGAAGACTGTTGTGAATACTGAATCTTTCACTACCGGTATGTACAGTTTGCCCGGGTTTTTTGCAGATTCCGTGTTTGTGAATTTGCCTACTCTAGGTGCTTTCACATTCATTCTCAGACGTGGGCAGAGCAAGCACCCCACGTGCACCTTCCCAGCTGCGGTTGATCAAGGCCCTGCCTTCTAGTTTCAGCTCGCATGCTGTAAACAAGTACCCTTTTCGAGATCTATGAGTGCCATGTTTTCAAGTTTTGTACTTTCTGTTGGTGATTCCACTGCCTTAAAATAGCCTGTAATGCTGAAGTGCTGTCTCGTGTTCCTAATTTCAAGAAGACTGTGATGTACCTTACATGGCATGATTGTTAGAAAAGCTTCCTTCAGGCATGAGTTACAGAGCTGTTGGGAGAGAGTGCAGTGTTAATCAGCCATTTGTAGGTGTCTTTAAACAGAAAAAGAAAATAAGGCTACACATCACTTTGTTGATAAAAATATGGTAACCAAAGGCTTGCAGAAACCTAATTGTATTTCCACCAGGAGCAGTGGTTTAGCATTTGCTAATTCGTTGTTCATGGTGATTTTATAGAACATAACGAGTGACGTTACAGAACATAACTACTGTGAGTTGATGAGGGTCAACAGTGTTTTGTTCACTATGAGGGTTCTCAACTTGAATGTTTGAGACATACCTGTCTAGAGAGCTACCTTAAAATATGGATTTCTGTCCCCCACCCTTTTCAAGTTCTAGTTCTAAGGTCTGGGTGTGTGTGTAGAGACTCTTACAAGAGGTGCAAAGGTTTCGTTGTCCACAGTGAGAATCCACTGGTTGAGGCCGTGGCTCTAGTCAGTGAGAGAGCTCACATCCCTCGTGTCAGAAGTAGCTGGTAGGGCTTCCCTGGTGGCGCAGTGGTTGAGAATCCGCCTGCCGATGCAGGGGACACGGGTTTGAACCCTGGTCCAGGAGGATCCCACGTGCCGTGGAGCGGCTGGGCCCGTGCGCCACAGCTACTGAGCCTGCGCTCTGGAGCCCGCAAGCCACAACTACTGAGGCCTGCACGCCTGGAGCCTGTGCTCCGCAGCAAGAGAAGCCGCTGCGGTGGGAAGCCCAGGCACCACAACGAAGAGCCGCAACTGGAGAAAGCCTGCGAGCAGCAACAGAGACCCAACTCAGCCAAAAAAAAAAAAATAAAAAAAAAAAAAAAAAAAAAAGAAGTAGTTGGTGGCCTCATCTCTCTGGTCCGTGGGTGACCAGTGCTTCTATAAGGCAGTCAAGAAAGGAGAGGGGCACTCTGTCTACACAGAAGAATCGTCTGCGTTTTTTGCCCTCCTAAGGCCTCATTCTTCTCTTTTGTGAAACAAGGATAATGATAACACGTACTTCACAGGATTTGTTTGGGGATTATTGGAATAATGTTCTTTGAACTTTAGAGCGTTATGCCACTTACAGAAGAAAGGAGAAGAGGCTGGAGTGGGGTGTGGAACTGAGTGCCCAGTGCTCTTGGATGTTAACCTCTGGAGTTTTGGCCAACTCACCATGGTGCCCTTCTCTCTTCAGGTAACCTGGATGGGGAGGACCATGCTGCAGAGAGAACAGTGGAAGATGTTTTCCTTCGTAAATTTATGCTGGGCACCTTCCCAGGCTGCCTGGCCGACCAGCTTGTTCTAAAGCGCCGGGCTAACCAGGTGGAGATCTGTGCCCTGGTCCTGAGGCAGCTACCTGCACATAAGTTCTACTTCCTTGTGGGCTACAGTGAGACTCTGCTGTCCCACTTTTACAAGTGTCCCGTGCATCTGCACCTCCAGACTGTGCCCTCAAAGGTTGTGTATAAGTATATCTAGGACAACCCACCTGTTTGCATCAAACTGTAGCCTGCAAAGGACAGAAACTTGTGGAAAAGGACTGAAGTAGAAACAGGGGAAATGCATCCCCTCAGACTACTGAGGCTTTGTCTTCAAAGTTGGCTGTTGAATAAATAGACTCTCCATGTTGTGTTGCTTCTTGGTCTGCCTAGAGAACTAGAATAGGGTTTCTTTGAGGATGCTCCAGGGTTCCCAGGAAGGCTGCCAGCTCCTGAGGTTTAGGCAATAGCTATGGTTCAATGAGTATCTTGTGCCCATCACTGTGTCAGGAACTTTACCTGAAGTTCTTTGTTTTCTCTTAAAATGGAAAGAGCCATTTTTGGAGATTATAAAACAACGTGGACATGTATTAAATCAGCCGTGAAGCTTACTTGTAATTCTACCCCAGAGAAAGCTACTGTGTACAGTTTGTTGTAATTCCAGATGTACTTTTATTCCCCCAGAAATAATGTAGCACACAGTCATCTATTAAACAAGCTTAACTGCACCTGGTCTGTGCCAGACACTCTTCTAAGTAGCTTGGAACCCATCAATGACCAAAACGTTCCATTCCAAGATCCATGCCTTCGTAATACTTGTATCCCAGTGGAGGGGGACAAGGAGGGTTGGGCCGCATTGAAGGCTCCAAGCAGGTGAGGAATATAGATATGCAGGTAAATGGAGGAAGAACATTTCAGAAAGTGGCATCTGCAAAAGCCACACATGGTGCTGGGAATTGGGACAGGGATTGCTCACCTTCAACTTCACCCCGACACTGATGACCTTCACCTTGACCATGATCCCGGTACCCTTAACTTGACCTTGAACTTTAACACACCCACTCTAATCCTAACCTTTGATCATCCCTGATCCTACCCACAACTTGACCTTTACCCTCAGTCTCACTCTTACCTGAGGGTGCCAACCAGGCCCCACCCCGCCCCAATCCTGTCTCCAGTGCTAGCTGACTGACTCGCCATGACCCTGACCCTGTGTCCCTCACATTTATGTAACCCTGACTCGCAGTCAGAAACTTGACTCAAGACTTCATCCTAACACTGTCTCGACCCTTACGGTGACCCTAACTCATCCTAACTGGTAACGCTGATGCTTGCTTTGACAGATTATGCGCCTCATCCAAACTCTTATGACCTTGACTGTGACCTTGACCTTGAAACTCAGCCATCACCCAGACCCTGTCCCTCACACAGATCTGACCCTACTCTTGACCCTGACCATGACCCTGTTCTTAGACTCAACAATCCTGAAGTTGTCATTCAGACCCTGAGACTCACCCCGATACCCTGATGACAAACCTCAACCTGACTTTGATCCTCACCCTGACCCTTCTGACCTTCACTCTCACACTGACCCTCACACTCGGTCTGCTCCTGGACCTGGCTTTTCATCTGAGTTTGACCCTCACCCTGTTCCACGTTTGCATCATAATACTGACTCTGACCAGGTGTTCTGACCCTCACCCTTACACTGACTGTGACCTTGACTGAACCTCAGCTGGACTCGATTATGTCCCTGACCCTCATGACCCAGATCCACCCATGTACTGAATCTTATTCAAATCCTCAATCTGACATTGGCCCAATCCTGTACCTGACTGTGACCCTTAGGCTCACCTTTGCCTTGATATTGACTCATCCAGACCTTGACCCTGATCCTTTTTAATTTAATTGAAATACATTGGACAGGTAAAGTTATATAAGTTCAAGGTGTACAACATGTTAATTTAAGGACATTGTTATATTTTAATGTGATTGTAGCAATAATTAGCACCTCTATCTCATTACAAAATTATCCTTTTTAGTAGTTGGAAAAATTGTTATAGTCTCTTAGCAACTTTGATGATTTTAATATTTTTGTCCCTATTGTACGGTACTAAGCATTATATCTGTAGGGCTTATTTACTACTTGTAAATGTGTACTCTCAACATCTGTCCCCCCACGCCCTCATCCCCTGCTGATCACTTTTATTCTGTTTTTAAAAATTTAGCTTTCTTAAATTGTACATGTAAGTGATGTCATACTGTCTTTCTATGTCTGCAAGTCCATCCATGTTGTCGTAAATGGCAGAATGTCCTCCTTCCTCGAGGCTGAATAATATTCCAGTGTGTGTGTGTGTGTGTTTGTGTGTGTGTGTGTGTGAGAGAGAGAGAGATTTTTTATCCATTTGATGAGTACTTATATTGTTTCCATGTCTTGGCTATTGTGAATAATCCTGCAATAAAAATAGGAGTGCAGATGTCTCTTTGAAATTCTGTTTTCATTTCCTTTAGCTATATACCCAGAAGTGGAATTGCTGGATCATATGGTTGGTCTATTTTTAATTTTTTTGAGGAAGGTTCATGTTTTTTTCCATTGTGGTTGAACCAATTTACATTCCCACCAACAGTGCGTAAGTGTCCTCTTTTCTCCACATCCTTGCCTGCGCTTGTTACCTGTTCTCTTCTTGATGGTAGCCATTCTAAAGGTGAGAGATGACATCTCATTGTGGTTTTGATTTGCATTTTCTCTGATGATTAGTGATGTTGAGCATCTTTTCATTTACCTGTTGGCCATTTGAATGTCTTCTATGGAAAGACGTCTTTATTTCTTCTGCCCATTTTTAAATCAGGTTGTTCCTCTTTTTGATTTTGAGCTGTGAGTTCTTTATATATTTTGGATAGTAACCCCTTATCTAATATATGGTTTGCAAACATTTTCTCCTGTACAAGTTGCCTTTTCGTTTTTAATTGTTTCTTTTGTTGTGCAGAAGCTTTAAAGTTTAATGTTGTCCCATTTGTTGATTCTTGCTTTTGTTGTTTGTGCTTTTGGTGTCGTATTTTAAAAATCATTGTCAAGACAAATGTCAAGGAGCTTTTCCTCTACATTTTCTTAGAGGAGTTATAGTATCAGGTATTAAGTCTGATCTATTTTGAGTGAGTTTTTGTGAATGGTGTAAGATAGGTGTCCAGCTTCATTGCTTCACATGTGTTTCTCCAGTTTTCCCAATATCATTTGTTGAGGAGACTGTCCTTTCCCCACTGGGTGCTCTTGGCTCCTTGTTGAATATTAGTTGACCGTATTAGTAGCAGTTTAATTCTGGGCTTTATATTCTGTTCCAATGGTCTATGTGTCTATTTTTGTGCCAGTACCATACTGTTTGTTTTTTTTTTAATTACTATATCTTTGTAGTATAGTTTGAAATCAGGAAATTTGATACCTCTAGCTTTGTTCTTTTTCCTCAGGATTGCTTTGGCTATTTGGGGTCTTTTATGATTCCCTACAAATTTTAGGATTGTTTTTTCTGTTTCTGGGAAAATACCATTTTGATGGGGATTGCATTGCATCTATAGGTGGCTTTGGGTAATATGGACATTTTAACAATATTACTTTCTCCAATTCATAAGCATAGGATGTCTTCTGAATTGTTTGTGAGTTTGATTTCTTTCAGGAAAGCCTTGGAGTTTTCATCATACAGATCTTTCACTTTCTTTGTTAAATTTGTTCCTAAGTATTTTGTTGTTTTTGATGCTGTTGTGAGTAGAATCATTTTCTTTATTTCTTTTTCAGGTATTTCATCCTTAGTGTGTGTGAAATGCAACTGATTTCTGTATGTTGATTTTGTATCCTGCAACTTTACTGAAATTGTTGATTAGTTCCAATGGTTTTTTGGTTGAGTTTCGGAGATTATTTTATATACAGAGTCCTATGACCTGCAAATAGCAACAGTTTTACTTCTTCCTTCCCAGTTTGTATGCTTTTGTTTTGTCTTGATTAATTGCTCTAGTTAGGACTTCTAATGCTATATTGAATAAGAATGGTTTAAGTAGCCAATCTTGTTCCTTTCCTGATCTCAGAACAAAAGCTTTCCGTTTTTTTGGTGAAAGTATTCGTTCTTATTCTGTTCCTGATCTCAGAGCAAAAGCTTTCTGTTTTTCTCCATTGAGTATAATGTTCTCTGTGGGTTTGTCATATATGACCTTTATTATGTTAGGTATGTTCCTTCTATACCCAATCTGCTGAGGGGTGGGTTGTTGTTTTTTTTTTTATCATGAAAGAATGTTGTATTTTGTCAAATGCTTTTTCTACATCTATTGAAATGATCATGTGATTTTTTCTTTCATTTTATTAGCGTGATCTGTTATGTTTACTGATTTGCATATGTTGAACCATCCTTGCATTCCAGGGATAAATCCTACTTAATCATGGTGTATAATCCTTTTTATGTGTTATTGAATTCTGTTTGCTGATATTTTGTTGAGAACTTTTGCATCTATATTCATCAGGGATATTGGTCTATAGTTTTCTCATTGTGTCCTTATCTGGCTTTGTTATTAGGGTAATGCTGACCTCCTAGAATGAGTTTGGAAGTATTCCCTCCTCCTCAGTTTTTTGGAAGAGTTTGAGAAGGATTGGTCTTAATTCTTCTTTGAATGCTTGGTAGAATTTGTCATTGAAGCCTTCTGGTCCTGGGGTTTTCTGTTGGGAGGTTTTTGGTTACTGATTCAATCTCTTTACTTGTTACTGGTCTGTTCATGTTTTCTGTTTCTTCCTGATTCAGTCTTGATAGGTTGTATGTTTCTAGAAGTTTATCAATGTCTTCTAGGTTATCTAATTTTTCATCTTATAATTGTTCATAATAATTTTTTATGATCCTATGTATTTCTGCCTTATCAGTTGTAATTTCTCCATTTTCTTTTTTTTTCCCATTTTCATTTCTAATTTAATTTATTTAAGTCTTCTCTTTTTTTCTTAGTCTAGGTAAAGGTTTTGTCAATTTTATCTTTTTGAGGGACCACATCTTAGTTTTGTGGATCCTTTCTATTGTTTTTCTGGTCTCTATTTCATTCGCTTCCCACTCTGATCTTTATTATTTCCTTCTTTGTACTAACTTTGGGCATAATTTGTTCTTCTTTTACTAGTACTACGAATTATGAAATTTGTTTTTTGACATCCTTCTAATTTCCTACTATATGCATTTATTGCTGTAAACTTTCCTCTCAGAACAGCTTTTGCAGCACCCCATAAGTTTTGATATGTTGTATTTTTGTTTTCAATTGTTTGAGATATTTTTTATTTCCCCTTTGACCCATTGGTTGTTCAGAAGTGTGCTGTTTAGTTTCTACATATTTGTAGATTTTCAAGCTTTCCTCTTGTTGATTTCTAGTTTTATACCATTGTGGTCAGAAAAGATAGTTGGTATGATTTCAGTCTTCTTAAATTTTCTGAGATTTGTTTTCTGTCCTTTCAAACTATCTATCCTGGAGAATATTCCATGTGCACTTGGGAAGAATGTGTATTCTTCTGCTGTTGAATAGAATTTTTTTATACGTCTGTTAATTCCATTTGTTCTAGAGTGTAGTTCAGTTCCACTGTTTCCTTACTTGACTTTCTGTCTGGATGATCTATCCATTGCTGACAATTGGGTATTGAAGTCCCCTACTATTAATATATTGTCTGTTTCTCTCTTTAGATGTGTTACTATTTGTTTAATATATTTTGGTGCTCCAGTATTGGGTGTGTATATATTTACAATTGTTATATCTTCCTGATGTATTGACCCTTTTATCAATATATAATGACTGTCTTTGTCTCTTGTTATCATTTTTGGGTTAAAGCCTATTTAGTCTGATATATGTATGGCTATGCATACTTTCTTTTGGATTCCTCTTGCATGGAATATCATCTTTATTATTTTCACTTTAAACCTGTGTGTCTTTGGGGCTGAAATGAGTCTCCTGTAGGCAGCATATAGTTGGGTCTTGTTTTTTAATCAGTCCAGCCGTTTTTGTGTCTTTTGTTTGGTGAATTCAATCCATTTATATTTAGAGTGATTACTGATGTATAAGGACTTACTGCTGCCATCTTATTTATTGTTTGCCTTCTGATTATTTTGTATCTATCGTTTCTTTTCCCTCTGTTTCTGTCTACCTCTGTAAAGTGGTGGTTTTCCATGGTAATTTTCTCAGTCTCCCTTTTTTTGTGTGTGTTTTGTGACTCTACTGTAGATTTTTCCTTTGTGGTTACCACGTGGCTTACATTAAACATCTCACAGATAAAATAGTCATTTTTATGCCGATAGCACCTTAACTTTATCCACTTATAAAGTTTCCACCATTTTACTCCTTTTTTTAAATACTTTTGATGTTACAATTTACCTCTTTTTATGAAAACTGAATTTTTTGAGAAATTATAATATCAATAGCTATAGTTATTTTTAGTGTACTTTTAGCCTTTATATTAAGTGGGTAATGCACCACTGCATTAATATGTAGAGTTACAGTTTTTTAATTCTGACTGTTTATTTTTCACCTTTGTTAGAGTATTGTGTACTTCCGTTTGCTTTTATGTCACTAATTAGTCTTTTCATTTCAGCCTGAAGAGCTCCTTTCAGCCTTTCTTGCAAGGCAGATCTAGTGGTGGTGAACTTCCTTAGCTTTGTTTGTCTGAGAACGCGTTTAATTTTCCTTCTAACCTGATGGATAACTGCCAGATAAAGTATTCTTGGCTGGCAGTTTTTGTCTTTTAACACTTTGAGTGTGTCATTCCACTTTCTCCTGGCCCGTAGAGTTTCTTCTGAGAACTATGCCGATAGCCTAATGGGTGATCCTTCGTGGATTACTTTCTTTTTTCCCACAGGCTCCCTTTAAGATTCTTTGTCATTGACTTTTGACAATTTTCCTATAATATATCTTGGAGAAGGTCTTTTTGCATTGAGGTAGTTAGATGTTCTCTTAGCTTCATGGAGTTGTATGTCCAGTCTCTTCCCCAGGTTTGGGAAGTTCTCAGCTATTATTTCTCTAAATATACTCCCTGCTCCCTTCTCACTCTCTTTCCTTCTGATATAACAATTATTCTTATATTTGTTTTTCTCTTTAAATCTCATAGCTTGTAGTGTTTCTTCACTTTTAAAAAAACTTAGTTCTCTTTGAGGAAGGAGTCATTTCCAGATTTCTGTCCTCCAAGTTGCTTATTCTTTCTTCCATCCAGTCCGCCCTAAGCTGTCTAATGCATTCTTCATCTCATTAATTGCATGGTTGAGCTCCAGAATTTCTGTTTGGTTCTTTATGAAAATTTCTATCTCTTTGGTAAAGAATTCCTTCTGTTCTTTAATTTTATTCCTGAGTTCATCGAATTGCCTTTCTGAGTTTCTTTGTAAGCTTATAGAATTCTTCAAACCAACTATTTTGAATTCTTTATCAGTTAGATCACAGTATTGTGGACCTCGGAGTTTAGTTGCTGGAGTATTGTCATTTTCTTTCTG